ATAACAAATGGACGTCACAATAATTCCCACATGCCAATACTTTATTTTTTTTTTTCAAAATGGAGTTTTGTAATACTGCGTACAGCTCACCTTTAGATGATCCCAAATGCTATTGATGTGAAAATCTTTTCCAAGATTGCACAGATGTGCTTTCCCCTGTAATGTAGCCCCTCTGTAATGGCTGGACCTGGCTGAATGGGACTTGAGAGAATTAGTCAGAGAGGAGAGAGAAACAGAGAGAGAGAGAGAGAGATTGGAGGAGAAGGAGAATCGAAATGCCACTAAAAATCGTGCTATTTTCGTCTTTACCTCCGGCATGGTTTTCATGCGATAGAGAAAGAGAGAGAGAGAAGCACACACATTCCTTCACCCAATGTCTTCATCCAATGTCTTCATCCAACGTCTTCGCTCCTCGTTGTCTTACTCTTCGTCTTTCCCCCCGTCTTTGATCGTCTTTATTCTGTATTACCCCCTCCTGCCCCTTATCTGTTTCCGTTGGAGATTGGATGTCTTCTTTCCGCATGGTCTTGCTTTGAATTTGATTTCACGAAGGTGTTATTCCCCTTTTATTCTCCTTTTATTCTCTTTCGATCTTAATATCCCTGCATTCACCCTGTAATCTTCACTTTATCTGTTTGCACTTGAGGTTGCATCTCTTCTTTCCAAATGGTCTCACTTTGATTTCCTGGAAGATGTTCTCCTGATAGCTTTCTCTGTATTTCTTCATTTTTAACATTTTCCGCTGCTTTACCTATGTCCATTTTTTTTTGTCTTTAAATTCATATCTTTTTGCTATTTTCTTAATTCAATAAAACTCTGATTACTCTTATTCTTATGTATCAAACTCTACACATATATGCCTACAGGTAAATATCTGCCTCTGACATATCTTCTACTCTGTTTGTGTACATTTTTTGTCACCTTTTTCATCTAGATTTTAAAACCTTCATCGACTAATATTATTGTATGGAACTATGGATGTTCCATAAATGCAAATATATTTTGTATGGTATAAATTTCAGTGTTATTCAGCATGTAGAATGAGTAGTGAGCATAATTCAACCATGAACAGGACAGTGCATTATATGTAAACCTGCATTTTGGTGAAGAATTCATGAGAAAACGCAGTCATGCTTTGTGTCGTGTGAATTGAGACCACAATTTTCAATTTTGTGCATGTGTGGTTATCTACAATCCTTGAAATTACCAGTAAGAAATTCACTTTCTTGATCAAACGTCATTATTATCATAACAACGAATGGAAATAATAAATTGATATTAAAGGGAATCCTGTGGTTATATTCATAGTATTGAAAACGACCATAAAACAGTGCTATTGATAACGCTTACATGTAGAATGGGAAATGATGAATTAATAAAATGACTTCAGCTGAAAAACCAATGTTTATTATTAATAACATTGTAATAATGGTTAGACTATAGTACACTCATGGGGTCAGCATATACCAGCAGAATACTTACATATGTGTTGCATTTGCCACATGTAGTATGAAGTGACATACAAGTTCACAAACTTGTCACAGGCTTGTCATTATTATATAGTTATATCATATTTCATATTACATATTATATTTCATATTAATTACAGGTATGGTAATTTTAAGAAAGGAATAAAAACAATGATAGGTTCAGGTCTACTTTTTAAATGCAGGAAAACCTCAGTTTGTCCTCAAGGGATTCGACCTCAAAATTATATAACATTTTCTGTGAAAAAGTTATTTCTTTTGTTTGAGTCTTTCCTTACACATTCAAATTCCAGGTACTTTCATGTTAGGGTCTATATGTATTATGTGAATTCAATTTTTATATCTCATGTTTGTATATATATTAAAGGTGTAAGCTACCAACAATATGAAGTACATGCATGTACATCTATGTATTTAATTTGAAACAGTTCTAATGATATGCATTTTTCTTTTTGCTGGTTTATGATACAAAGACACTTGTTACAAAGATAAACTTGTGTGCATATTTTGTAAGGTTATGAAATATCATTGTAGTATTTTAAATTTGCATTTTTTTGTTTAAAAGCAACATGTACATTTTGTAGGTGCATGTCTTCATGTTGCCAATGTAATATGTTAATTCCCACATACCTCTGTGTGCAGAGTTATCACAGCTGCCTATTTAGTGTTCAATATAAACACTATTAGAGCAGTAAATTGTGCCAAAATTGAGTAAAGTGCCTAGAGTTTTCCCTTCTCTTTCCCTCCAATCTTGTCCCTGTGTCGCAGCTTATCCGCCGAGTGAAAGCAAACGAGAGGAAAGTTAGACTCGAAACGCTAGCATGCTGTCAGAATCAACCCATCTAGCGCAATTATCGAGTTAATATCACGCTAAGCCTCGAGGGCGATCTTCAACCAGAAGAAAAGCCTGCGTGAAAAGAGATGAAAGAGGATATAAGATGGCGCCATCGCCAGCAAAACGCAATATGCCGATTGTCGCCCTAAATTCTTCTGCCCATGCAAATATTATGCTAATCAAGTATCATTACATCTTGCGGAAGACCCTTGGCATACTCATAGTGGGGGGAAGAGTGAATTGGAGGAAAAAGTGGTCATAAATTGTCCCTGCGTCTGGTGTAGCCCCCAGTTATGGGTGAGCACTTAGATATAATAAGAGATACATGGATGGGGGATATGAGCGCAGACAGCTGAGAAGATATTCTGCTGGCTTGGCTCCGTTGCCGCTACCATCGATGACTCACGTGACGATCCAACATAAACTTGTTATTGTTGATACTTTCTTTCTTATCTCCTACAACGTCAAGATTCTACTTGCCCCGCAGCCGAAAAGGCCATCCAAATTTCCGTGCAAAGCGTTGCGATCCCGCTTTCAGGGCCTTTTTGTCTCCACGCGGCTTTTCCAAAGCGGTTTGCTCTTTGAGCGGTAATCCCAGTAGATACGCTACGCATCTCGCCTCTAAAGATCTTTGCTGATACACGAGCGGATTCCCCCCAAAAGCTTTCATCGTCGTGAAAGTCTTTCTTTTTAAATTGATGTATTAAATATCCTGCCCTTGCAGCGATGTATGATAAAAGCTTAACTGCTCTATGCTATAAGAACTAGATATGTAACCTGAGGTGTATTGAAATGAATGAATTCAAAACACTGGCTGACGATCAAAAAGTAATGGTTCCCTAAACTACTTATGGCAGACATCACTTGTGGCAAATTTCTCATCCCGACAATCGTTGTTTGAAAAACAAAATGGTTGGCAACTGTCCTTTTGGAATTTGCCCGGCAAACATGATTTCTATACAAACAGTAGCTCCGCGCAACTCCCACACCCCCTACTGGTAATCTTGTTAGCCTGTAACACCACCATTATCCAAGCCATGGAGTCGTGATGATCATTTTAATCCTATGATAGATAGCACACAAAATGCCCCCTGATATACCACATACCAGGAATATGCAGATGTCATTAAACCCGGGAGACTTAACGAGAGATAATTACCCTTTTTATCGTGATGAGTCAGTCGGCCCTGATTACGATTCGGTGTCTGTGGCCCTATGAAACCATCAAAGACCGTTTGAATCTTAGAAACGAGGTTGAAAATTAAAGGCTGTAGCTATTCTTACCCACCACACGGCGATATCTACATGTATGTACACGTAATATACATTCACTCTGAGTGATACTCAACATTCAGCCATATGACTCATATGAAAGCACCATGAAAAGAGAAGATGTTGCATGTTCTCTTCAGAAGTGGTATGCTTCATATGATATTGTATACTAAGAGCAAGAAGGTAGTAAGTTCTTTTTTAGAAGGATACAAGTTAACGCCCTTCTACATGTACCTCCACACAGAGGATAGTTATAGTCTGCTGAGAGCCAGAAGGGTGTTAACTCTTTAAAGTATAATAATTAATGCCCCTCTAGCTCTGAAAATATTGTAGATATGAAGAGCCAGAAGGGCATTCCCCCATTTTGAAAGGAAATGAATTAACGCCCTACTGGCTCTCGGCAGATGAGCTACATGTATGATGTATGTTATGAATTGAAAGAAATATGCCTGGTTTTGGTGGTATACTTGTAGATCATGTGATGGAAGTCGCTAAATGTCTACCAAACTCAGGTTTTTTTCTTCAAATTCAATGAAGATAAATTATTTAAATTGATTGGACATTTTACTGCATTTTTGTCAAGGTTAATTTATGATGAGATTGTAACAATGTACTTACTCTAAGCTGAGGTACATTGTTGCTTGTACATCCCTCAGATTACAATGAAAAACCGTCAGGTATTCAGGAGAAAATGACCGTGGACCTTTAATATGCATGTAAGATGCGGCGGCGGGCTGGTAGGAAAAGGCCATGTGGAGAAGTGATTATTTTCCCAACTTGTGAAATAGCAATTAGAATAATGTGCCCTTTGAATATTTAATTGGCATTGATCGTGTCTGTGGAGATTTAACCAGCAATGTTACTGTCAGGTCATCATCATCAAAAATTTGGTCTACATTTTTTCCTGATAAAATCATGTAATAGTCTGTGTATTAAACATTTAATGCCTTTTTATGTGTGTTTTGGATAATTTATGATTATGATGTCATTTGATTTATTGATCTCTTATTGTGTAATCCTGTTTACTTGTAAGTGTTCATTGATGTCAATCTTGAAGTCTCAACTGATGTATTTTATAATTTGTTTGAGGTACTGATACACAATCATATACATGGACTATATACATATTGCTTGCAATGAGGTTTTTTTTCTCAATTGTATTTCTTTTCTATGTTGGTCATGTCTATGATGTTTTTGGTAATCAAGATTCTGGTATATGTTTAATATCATTCTTATTTTTGTGACTGTAACATTTATTTTCCTTAATGGATTCTGAGTTCTGACTGATCTCTTATGAATGTTTTTGATTTTCAGATTTGCTTTTACTTAACAAACATTCCTGTGAGATATATTCCAGTAAGTCGCACCCAAGACTTATTCCATCTTTCTGTTTTCTTCCCTTTCAGTGGACGGAGTCTGGAGCAAGTTATGAAAGGATTTTCCAGACGTGTCATGTGAGTGATCCCAGAGACAACTGGCTTCGGATGCCTTATATCGAGAGGCAGGGAGCAAATAGAATTCATGTAGAAGTCAAGTTCACAATGTACTCATGTACTGGCATCGTAGATGCGCAACTTTGTAAAGAAACCTTTGATGTGTATTTTTATCAGTCGGACACGGACGAAGCGACGGAAACGTCTCCGGACTGGACTGCTCCGCCGTATCAGAAGGTCGCAAGGATAGCGGCCGAGGGCCGATTCTCGGATCCCGACACGCTCGATGAGGAGGTCGTCAACGTGCGGATCGAGAACTTCGGGCCCGTCACGGCCAACGGATTCTACATCGCGTTCCGCGACCAAGGGGCGTGCATGGCCCTGCTCCAAGTGCGTATATTTTACCAGGTTTGCCCGCAGGTGGTTCGGGACTTTGCGATTTTTAACCAGACCAACGAGGGCCCCGAAACGCACACGCTTGTGACGGTGCCGGGGACTTGCGTGAAGAATGCTCAGCCGGTACCGCCGGGCAGCACGCCTCAGTATATTTGCCAGAATGAAGGGATTTGGTCCCTGAACCAAGGAGGATGCGGATGCTCGCCTGGATACGAGGCAAGCGCAGACAGGACTAGATGTGAAGGTAAGTCCCATGAATTCATTTGCCATACATCCATTTCATGGAATAATTGCAGCTCTTTATTTTCCGTTTGTAATAAGCACTGCTCATTGGAAGGGGTATTCAGAGCACGGGTTGTAGAACCTTTTGGTCAGAAAGGTATTCTGCTGTGAAATAGAATGACAAAATATGAATGTTGGATTCGACAGTGACATGGGATGAAATATTGTATGGGGCACATGATGCGTGGATATAAGAGGGACCTTTGTAAGCCGTGTACATGAACTGTGATGTTGATTTACAATGCTCATGTTTCCACTAAGAGCGTGTCTACCAAAGCATGGGTGTGCAACGAGTGATAAACGCGTGAGTACTCGCGTGCGTGCCCATGAAGGAACAGCATGCAAGCTGAACTTGCCCGTAACCATGGTAATTCTAAAATCAGCAGAATTGTTTATTGATTTACTGGCGAAACAGTGCACCTTGGTGATGCTATTAAACAATTGGAATTTACTCCCGGCTCAGTTAATCCTAACCAAACGACAAATTGTTGATCATGAGATCTAATGACCCAGAACAAAGATGTCCATCAAGCCTCGCTAAATTTCCCTCTGTGTTTTGCGGCAAAGTTTAAACCTGAAATGCTGAAAATAGTCTGCTGTAAATAAAACTCGCAGGAAATTGTCTAAATTAATGGCAGCACATGAGCTCTATTTGATGTCATTACGGTGCTCGCCACACGTCTCTTTCGCCTGCAATTACCCATCATTTGACGGTGTCGCAAATCAAAAATCATTTGTCCTTTATGATTTTAACCTTGGTGTGTTTTCCCAGCCTCCCCTGCTGATTTTCAGTCAATTTTGGTAGCGTGCGCTCGACGAGAAGCAATAGAGCGATGTCCATTTTTCGTGCAGTCGACCCTCTAATTGTGTTGCGTCGATTCACGCACGTTAGCGACCAACAAAGCACCGACTTACTTATTGCGTAGGACCTTGGAAACCCCAGCATCAGAACTGAAAATGTAGTATGATTCCTACAAATCAATATAGGTGTATTCTAGTCAGGTGTATTTTATGCAAGAAAAGGTTCTGTTGTATGATCATATGATGTACAAAACCATGGGAGTGGTAGAAAAGTGTACACAGAATTTTATTCTTACCTGAACTTGTCCAAAAATAAAATTTGCAAGAATGCAATTGGATGGAATTTCACAATTTTAATGAAGGTTGAGGAATATCAATTGTTTGGCTTCTCTGCATCATTTTTATTCAAAGACGGATAGAAATTTAGCAATAAATTAATGCCAAATATCATCATCGGTATATGTGGAAGAAGCTTAGGGAAGAGGAAGCAAATGAAAATAGAAACTTGTTCTTTGTATTGTATATCCTTTCCTGCCAAAACCTGTCAAAACAAAAGATAAGAAGATTATGATTTTTAGGAATACATCATGGACTTATTATTATGGAAACTTTAATCCTTTACTAAGCTTGGCTAGCAGCATTCACATTGTAGTAATCCAATGTTTATTCTAAGATAATACCTGATAGGTAAAAATAACCCAGTTTTCTTTGCATTTACAATAGCTTAATCTACTCTGTTGAATCATTAAAAAGAGACAAATTCTGAAATTCAAAGGAGACAGTCTTTACCATCAGGGCAATGAAAGTTTTTTATATTGTTTTTTTTTTAAATATTGGGTTGTCATTTGCCATTTTGAGCATGTAGGAAAACATAGTGGGTCTATTCCCTGTGACGGATGGGGCCCGATGTCGGCATAAAGCCGTGGATCGAAAACCATATGCTTGCGCTTCCTCTTCCCATGCCGGTGTCGGTAAGTGTCTTCTGCGTTTTGTTCGCGGGGTGCTTACGAAAACAAGAGAGGGTCAATTATGTATTCAGCGAAGCCCCCGTCGTCCCATCCGCTCTTACCTTACGAAGAGTGATTGTGACATCACAACAGATTATGAGAGGGGGAGAGAAGGGGTGGAAGAGAAAGGGAGAGGGAGAAAGAGAAAGGGAGAGGGAGAAAGAGAAAGGGAGAGGGAGAAAGAGGAAGGGAGAGGGAGAAAGAGAAAGGGAGAGGGGGAGAGAGGAAGGAGAGAAGAGGGGTAGAAATGTGAATTGGAATAGCCAGTGGTGGTTACATTCACAATGCACATGATACAAAAGCAGGTGCATTTTGGGAGTAATGCCCGCTCTAACTCTAAGACTAAAAAAAGGCAATAGAACGGGAGCACACCCCGCCGCTTCCATACAGCGGGAGTGCAAAACTTGATGTACTTGTTACACACATGAGTAAGGAAGCATAATGGCAAACCCATTTTAGGCAATTTTTTGCACCATTTGTGCAGCACAAAAAAGTGGACCAAAAAGGAAACAGACTAAACATAGTAGCAGAAAGAGACGTAGATGGAAAAAGAGCGAGGGACGGAGAGGAAAGAAAAACGATGGTGGTTGTAGACTTGCATGCGTATTTGGTGTTTGTGTTTTGATTGTAAACATGGGATGAGTCTCCCCTTCCGTGGCTGGGTTGATCTCAAGTTCAGCGTTGATTGTGTCTTAACGCCTCGCGTTGTCTTTATTTAGATGTCCCCCTGCTGGTGGCGACTGATAACTATTATTTAATTTCTCCTCCCGTCTGACCGATTGTATTCTTTGTCTCTTCTTGACGAGCATCTGCCTCTTTGTGGAACCACTCCAACCGTTTTTCTCATTCAAAACTAGAATTCGATAGAAAGTCAACCTTTTTTTGTTTCATTTTCATTTGCCTGTTTCATCTTTCTATTTTATGTTTGCATTTCAATCAATTTCAATTGTATATTCTTTTTACTGCCCATTTCTATAATTTTGAATGACTCAGTCTTAGATCATTTCTACATATATACAACATACATGTAGTTATTGTTGTATTGAACGAGTCACTCATTCGTTATAATAATAATAATAATATTTGCATTTATATAGCGCTCATTACAGTAAATGTATCACAGCGCTTTACATATCATATACATATATAAGAATATCAATAACAAAATAACTTATGAACTGATTACATTTCCTGATTACGCATAAAAAAAAAAAAAAATTGTCTTACAAAATAACTTATAAACTACATGTAATATTACAGGTACAGATTAAGTATTAAATAGAAATGTCTTAAGGGACTTCTGGAACTGAGAAAGGGATGACGACGTCCGTACGTTCTGGGGGAGGTTGTTCCATAGGCGTGGTGCAGCAGAAGAGAAGGATTTGTCACCTGTACATGTATTGGTCCTTGGAACTGCGAGTAGTGCTGGGTCATTGCTTGATCGGAGCCCTGGTCTTGCTGTTTGATGCTTACGTAAGAGTTTCGTGAGGTAGTTGGGAGCAGAATTATTAAGACATTTGTATGTAATAGTCAGAATTTTGTATGTTATGCGCTTTTCAACGGGGAGCCAATGAAGTTGTTGTAGGAAAGGTGTTACATGGTCGTACTTCTTGGCCCGAAAAACCAACTTTGCAGCACGGTTCTGAGCTCGCTGCAGACGCTTCACATTTAATGCAGAAGTGCCACAGAGAAGGGAGTTTGCGTAGTCGATCCTAGACGAGACGAGCGCTCTCACAGCATGCTCACATGCAGACTGGTCCAGGAAGGGCCTGATGCGTGCTATGTTGGACAAATGAAAGTGAAGCGAACTGGATAGAGATGACACGTGGCGATTCAACTTCAGATTAGCGTCAATCTCAACACCCAAACTTCGGATAGAGGTTGAAGGCTCAATAACTGTACCACCAATGGTCAGAACAATCCCTGATATGAGATGTCGATAGCGTGGACTAGCAACAATAAGGAAATCCGTTTTTTCAGAGTTCAGTTTCAACATGTTGCTCTTCATCCATTGTTGCAGATTGATGATACACGCAGATAATGACTCAAGAGCAGCTGTCATTGCATGCCTGTCCTTTGGATCGACAGAGATGTACAGTTGCACGTCATCTGCATAGATGTGGTGTTGTATCCCTGCATGATGCTTGATGATATCAGCTACAGGATGAGTGTATAAACTGAAAAGTTGAGGACCAACCACTGAGCCTTGTGGAACTCCGAATCTCAGAGGTTTTTGTTCTGATAGCTCATTCACAACCTTCATCCTGAAGCTTCTGTCTGACAGGTACGAGTCAAACCACGATCTCACCATTCCTGAGATGCCAAAAAGCTTGTCCATACGCTGTAGAAGTATTGTGTGGTCAACACAGTCAAACGCAGCAGACAGGTCCAGGAATACGAAAAAGGTAACCAACCTGTTGTCCAATGCTCCCAGAATGTCATTTTGTACTTTTAGAAGAGCAGTCTCTGTACTGTGCCAACGGCGGTAAGCTGACTGGTTCTCAACGTTCAAATCATGTTCGTCCATGTGGTCCGAGAGTTGAGACAATGCAGCCTTTTCAATGATTTTTGATAGAAAAGGGACGTTTGAGACAGGCCTGTAGTTCTTCAGATCTTCCCTATCAAGATTGCTCTTCTTGATCAGTGGAACTACCACAGCTTCCTTCAGTGCTGAGGGGAAGACACCGCTACTCAATGATGTGTGTACAATTGATGCAATATATGGAAGAAAAGTGTTAATGTTCTCTTTCAAAAGCCACGTTGGTAGTGCATCTAGCGAGCATGTCTTATTTGGTGAAGAACGTATTAATTTGCAGACCGTCTCAAGAGTCACAGTGTCGAAATCTGACAGTTCGGTGATAGGAACAGAGGCATCCGTGATCATCCCATCATCATTACAGGTGTCCGTAACTCCTGCATTACCTGTCATAAGACTTGCTCTAATCTTCTCTACCTTCTGTTCAAAGAAAGTAGCAAACCTCTCTGGTAGTGATGTAGTAGAGCTATCAACCGGTAGAGCCATCGGTGACCTGTTCAAAAGCGTATTCAGAACATGGAACACATTCTTTACGTCTGCACTGCTTAACTGTTCTGTATAGTACTTTGATTTCTCTCTTTCAATGAGCTTGCAGACCGCATGAACCTGGGAGAGATATTGCTGGCGGCTCTCGACTGTATGCGACTTTCTCCAGCGCCTTTCAACTTTACGCCGAAGACGTCTTGCCTGATGAATTTCATCTGTATACCACGGAGGACGAGAGCGAAAACGATGGACACGCTTAGTCGCAGGGCAATGCTGGTCAAGTACTTCCAAAACAG